TATTTTTTATGTGTTTACTGTACATACATAAACACATAGGTGTTTTGCCTGCATGTGTCTGTGTACTATGTGTTCTCAGAGGCCGGAAGAGGGCTCTGGATTCCTTGGAACTGGAGTTAGAGACAGTTGTGAGCAAATATTTCTAGAACACTGAAGAAAAGTGCAGTCTGTTTTTGCGTGTATCTTTCTCCCATGTCTGGCTTCCTGTCTAATGGTCTAGGTTCTCTTTATTACGGTCCGTTATTCCTTGCTACTTAGAAAAAAGATTCTCAAGGAGCTGGAGAGATGGCTCAGAGGTTAAGAGCACTGGCTGCTCTTCCAAAGGTCCTGAGTTCAATTCCCAGCGACCACATGGTGGCTCGCAACCATCCGTTATGAGATCTGGTGCCCTCATCTAGTCTGCAGGCAGAACAGATATAAATAAGTAAATCTTAAGAAAGAAAGAAGACTCGAGCTGTTTTTTTTGTTTTGTTTTGTTTTGTTTTTTTGTTTTTTTTCTTTTGGTTTTTCAAGACAGGATTTCTCTGTGTATCAGTCCTGGCTGTCCTGGTACCTGCTCTGTAGACCAGGCTGGCCACGAACTCACAGAGATCCGCCTGCCTCTGCCTCCCGAGTGCTGGGATTAAAGGCGTGCGATTAAAGGCGTGCACCACCAACGCCGGACAATTTCTTCTTTCTTAACATGTTAGGTGTGCACTATGTACTTGGCCTCTGTGGGGCACAGGACCAAGGTGTCAGGTTCTCTGGAAATGGAGTTTTGTGCCACCGTGTGGGTGCTGGCGATTGAACCCACGCCTGTCTTTCGCAAGTGCAGCCAGCACTCCTAAGCACTGAGCCACCTCTCCCGTGTGGCCTCCGGCTTGGATGAGAAAGCAGTCCCTGCCGGTGCTTTCCCAGTGCAGCTGGGATTTCATTTCTCTCTTGCTGCTTTCGAGCGAGTTTTCTTTGGGAGGTGACATCCCCTCTCCATCCAGCACCCCGCCCCCGGTAGGCGGCGCTCTCGGGTGTCCTGGGATGGTGTGCCAGCATGCACCCCACCTCTGTTTCAGGGCCCACGACAATACGATCTCAGACTGCTGTTTCAACTTCAGCGGCCACTTTCTGTGCACCTGCTCGTGGGATAAAAATATAAAAGTGTGGAACGTCCACACGGGGGAGTTCCGAAATCAAGGAGCCTGTGTGACCCTGATGAAGGGCCACGAGGGCTGTGTAAGTTCCTGCTGCATCACCAGAGACAGTGAGTGACCTGCCTGCTCCTCCCTTCCGCCTTCTCTCCCCCTCCTTTTCCTGTTTCGCGTGCCACAGTGAAGCCGGGCTCACCCTCAGGTGCCAGAACTCAGCTGGTTCCTTCCTGGTCCACCTGTGGGGACTGTTCCTGGGGCAGAAAAGCGGTGACCCCCCCCCCACACGATTCTAACAGGAAGGGCGGAGCTTCGCCCACCCCACCCCAGGCCCCCCCAGCCAAGAGAGGAATTTGGGGACACGTTTCCAGTGGCAGGAACCCCAGCTCGACGTGACTTAAACCACAGAAGAAAGTCTGAATTTTTATTTTTTTGAGTATGTGTAAACTATTATTCAGATTGCCAAAGTGTGGTTGGCCTTTAAATAATTTGCTTGTTGAAGTACAGTTATCTGACTCTCGAGCAAGACCAGCAGAATTCCAGTCTTTTGAGAGGGGGGGCTGCAAGATGCTGCGTTCTGATACCCCCGCCCCCGTGCATGTAAAGAACAGGAACGCTTGTGAATTCTGAACACCCAATGGGAAGGATGCTCCCTCCACGGTCTTGCACACCATTGCTCCTCCCCCCCGACCCATTCAGCGTCTCCTTTATGTGGGTTATGGCCCCGGAGGCAAGGATGGCCTCCAAGTCACTCTGGTTCTGGCCACTGGCATTCCTCAAGGAAACGTGAATTTCTGCCTGACAGGTGTCAGCACCAAATCCCAGGGAAGGCTCCCATTGGCTCAGTGCGGGACGCACACCCATCTCTCTGAGCCAATCACATAGCAGGGGATTGGTCAGATTTGGGAGACTTTCCCAGAGTTAGAGGTGCTGGGCAGCGCTCTCTAAACTGAGAGCAAGAGGGGAATCCTTCCTTACAGGGAGTTGGGGTGCTGCTGCCAGGTGAAGTGACATGGGGGTGAGTGGGACCAACGGCAGGAAGCCTTCTTCAGTAATGAAGGCACAGCGAGGGCCCTTTGAGGGAAGTGGCTGTGGAGGAGTGCCCACGTCTCAGCAGGATGGTGTGTGTGTGTGTGTGTGTGTGTGCGCGTGCTCCTGCCCATTAAAAATTTGTTAATTATTCAAATGTAGTTCCAGCACTTAGGAGGCAGACGCAGTCAGATCTCTGAGTTCGAGGCCAGCCTGGTCTACAAAGCTAATTCCAGGACAGCCAGGGCTGCGCAGACAAACCCTGTCTTGAAAAGCAAGCAAACAAATTACGTGTGTGCGGGTTTGTGCGTGTGTGTGCAGTGCTTCTGAGGTCCCCGGGGCTGGAGTAACAGACGGTTGCGAGCTGCCTGATGTGGGTGCTGGGGACTGAAGCCCGGTCCTCTGCAAGCGCAGTGTGCCTTCTTAACCACCGAGCCGTGTTCTCCAATACCATCCTCCAGGCTCTTTTGTTGATATTTTTACTGTGTGAAACTCAAACCGAGGAGTGAAATACTGTTAAATGCCTCGAAGGGCAGGAACACTGATCTGCTCTGTGGAGGAAACACACAGCACACTGAGTTGCACTGAGCCTCGAGACACAGTGAATATTGGCCCAATTCCACACTAGTAATCAATAATACACACCAGATAGGATGCCTTTATCAGAAATCCCTGCATCGATTGATTAATTTATCAGAACATTGTGACTAGAGACTGGGGTTTGGGTTGTTGTTGTTCTTTTTCCATTTTTTCATGTGTATATGTGTAGGGGGTGCAAGTACCTGTGTGTGTGTGTGTGTGTGTGTGCATATAAGTGTGTGTGTGTGTGCGTGTAAGTGTGTGTGTGTGGGGTACACATAAGTGTGTGTGTGCATATAAATATGTGTGCATATAAGTGTGTGTGCATATAAGTGTGTGTGTGCCTGAGGTCTCCATCATCTCTTTTTTTTAAGATTTTATTGATTTATTATGTATACAACATTCTGCTTCCATGTATATCTGCACACCAGAAGAGGGCACCAGATCTCATAACGGATGGTTGTGAGCCACCATGTGGTTGCTGGGAATTGAACTCAGGTCCTCTGGAAGAGCAGTCAGTGCTCTTAACCTCTGAGCCATCTCTCCAGCCCCCTCTATCATCTCTCGTCTCATTTATTGTCTCTCAATTAAACCCGGAGCTCTCAGCTTAGGTTAGTCTTGCCCTGTCTTTGTCTTCTGGGGCTGACATGGCAGCCTGGGAATTATGTGGGTTTCTGCAGATCTGAGCTCCAGTCCTCAGGCTTGTGTGGCAAGTGTTTCAACCTCTGGACCATCTCCCCAGCTCCCTGGGGTTTGTTTGCTTTTAAAATAAGGTCTGTGGGCAACTGACATGGTTTAGTGGGTAAAGTTACTTATTGCCAAATCTGATGACCTGAGTTCAATCCCTGGGCGCCACGTGGTGAAAGAGGGAAGGAGTCTCAAAAATTGTCTTTAGGTACTGTGCAATCACATGTATACAAACACACACACACACACACACACACACACACACACCACATACATACCACATAAACACACCACACACACACACACCACACACACCACACACACACCACATAAATCACCACACACACACACATACACACTACAGACACACCACATAAACACACTACATACACACCACATACATACCACACACACACCACATACACACCACATACATACCACATAAACACACCACACACACACACACACACACCACACACACACACATACACACTACAGACACACCACATAAACACACTACATACACAACAGACACACCACATAAACACACTACATACACACCACATACATACCACACACACACACCACACACACACACACCACACACACACACACCACATACACACACCACACACACACACACCACACACACACACCACACACACACACTCACACACACTACAGACACACACACACCACATACATATATACCGCCCCCCCACACACAAATGTAAGGTTGGCCTCAGAGTTGTGATCCTGTTGGCTCAGTGCCTCCCCCCCAACCCCAAGTACTGGAAACATAAGCATTCACCCCGTGTCTAATGTGAGCACACACTGGCAGGGACGTGAGCCTGCACAGCTCCTAGGAGCAGTGTGGCTCAGTGGTTGGCTCATTTGTCTATGTGACATCACTGCCCTGAAGAACAAAGGAAGGGCTTTAGCTGCCTGGGGGGGGGCCCGGTGTTCTCGGCTTGAGCCATGCAGTGCCTCACAGATGCCCCCCCAGCCTGCCTGAGCCTTACCACAGTCAGCGGGAGAGCTGGACGGAAGGAAACCCTGTACCCATCCCCTCCTGTTGTATTGCAGGCTCTTGTCTCATTTCTGGTGGATTTGACAACAGTGTGGCTATTTGGGATGTAGGAGATGGCTACCGGAAGTTGTCATTGAAGGTACAAGTGGCCGCCCAGCATAATGAATCCAAATCTCTTTTCTGGGGTGGGGAGGGGGGCGGGGGGGGGGGGAGGGTCTTGCCATGTAGCCCAGGTTGACCTCC